AGCTAGCGCTTCTACATTATCTTCCTCTGCTAATAGATACAACCTTGGTTTCTGTCGAATAATTTATGGAGTTAGGGTTAACTTAGGGTTAAGCCCTAAGCGCGACTCTCAGTGAGCACAGGCCACGCCCACGAACACCAACTCTCGACCAGACTTTATCTAATAACTTACGCTATATCTCTTGTAGTATTATAAAAGCTAGTACGTTAGATGCGCGCGAGTTATCTGTACCATATACTTAAATTACAGCTGTTTTCCATAACTGACGACTAAGGAGAAGGGTTTGTTCCAAATCTTAGGGAACAAGCCCCCTGCGAACCAAGAGCGCGGGCCACAAAAATGGAACAAAGGTTTGTTCTCTATGGAATAACTGTCAGGCTTAGTACTTTTTAAAAGTAATCTAATTCTAATACTCTTTAGATTACTTAGTATAGTCCTAGTACTTCTTATATAAGATAATGTAACTTTAGTACTTCTTAAAATATTATAACTTTAATTTAAACTAGAAAAGGAGTCTATATTATCTATAGCTATATATTAATTTTAAGATCTATCTTATTTATTTAATTTATATTATAGGATTGTCTTAATAGATTAAATATTCTTATTATTACTTCATTTACTTTTACTACTTATAGTAAGAAATATAGATAGATTAGCTATTATAAATACTCCTTTATAGTGTAACGGACTGAACGCCCTTCGCCTCCCATACTCGTCTACGACCTCGTTTACTCCACCTGCCCGGCCCGATTGTTACCCTAGCAACCAGCATTGTATATAGATAGCTACGTAGCCGAGAGCTTAGCTCTCTATCGAATACAATCTTGTTACCTTGGCCTGTCCGATCGTGCTCCCGAGCTTAAGACTACCCTCTGGGGTCGAGCCCCTTACATATAGCTTTTTTATATAATTAGATAATTTAGTATTATATACTCTTAGAAATATCTGATTATATCTATCTAAATAGTCTAATTTAGTTCTAACCTAGTAGTTTATTTAGCTATTTAATTAGCTATTTAATCTAGACTAAAAGTTTAAAAACTTACTACCTATATAGGCGCTATTTTATTAACTATAGCTAGGAAATCTATAGCTACTACTTAAAACTAAGTAATATTAAGTACTTTAAGTAACTCTACTTTAGTAATTACCTTATTATATTTAGCTAGCTAGGTATTTTAGTTATTTACCAATTTTAGTAGCTTAAGAGTATTATAATATCTCTATTATACTTATTTATATTTAATCTTATTAGTAACACTTATATATACTTTTAGTTTTTTAATTTAGTTACAAATTAGCTTATTTAATAAGTAGTATATATACTATAAATATAAACTAAATATTAAATAGATTAGTAGTATAATCTATTAAAGTTTAATATTTTAGTTTTATATTTAGTATATTTAGCTTTAAACTACTTTAAACTAAGTTTATAAAACTTAAGATCTTCTTTATAAGTATATTATCTAGCTAGGGATAGATTAGATCGTCTTACTAGTGTAGCGCTAGAAGCTAATCTAGTTACTAGCGCGTAGTTACTTATATCGAGAAAATCTAGTAACTTTAGAGTAGTTAGTAGATTAGTTATTATATCTAGATTGATTTTATCATATATATAATAGACTATATAGCACACTTTTAGCTAGTTATATTAAGTACTATAGTTATACTTATTATATAAGATTACTACTATAATTTACTTGTTAGCTAATATATTTATATTAAATTTGGTTGAATAGTTTAGATAGTATAAATAAAACTTTTAATTATTAGATTATAAGATATGAAATTAAAGATAGTAATAGATTACTAGATATTAGTATAGATTAGATAACGTATTCCACCACCGAGAGTGCCACCCCACCGAGTGTGCCACTTTTTCTTGGCATCGCGAACATCACATATGAAAACTTGAATTACTCTACACTAGCTATAGATGCTTCGTACGACTCACTTGCATCTAACATAGAATCTTCTTCTACATCTTTTTGGCACGTACGGGCGTTATGGCCCACTCTCCCACAGATTCCACAGTGCCGTTGACCTGGCTGGGCCTTTTTCTTGACTACCCCCCACCACGCGCTTTCTTTGATATTATACGACTAGTAGAAGC